ACGGGTGGACCGTTGATTCCGTATGGCAAAACCCGAGCGGATATTAGACGGTAGAGGGACACCGACCCGACGACATGTCGGGGAGGGAGATTGAGATAATTCGGTGGAGATGTGGGCTTCAATGTCGGGAATAGAAATTACTATAAGGGTTTGAATCAGTATCTCGATGATAACAGTGACTCGTTAGAGGAGCTACTTACGAATATTCTCCGGCTTAATGTCGGTGTGAACCAAGTCGCATTCATCATGAAGGTATTGCAGACCGAGCAGAGTTTGCTTGGCGATGACCTTGACGAGGGCCCGCGGTACTCCATGCTTCTTGTTACGTTCTATCAACGCCAGCAGATTCTCGCCAAGAGGCTCGAATACAATGCAGATATGGGAGGCCTCGGGTCCTTGGTGTGAAAAGGAGTCGAGAAAGGAGACTATGTGCTGGCGGCCTGCATGGGCGGGTGAAAACGATGCGACCCGAGAAAGGAGTTTAATCTCGTCTCTCGCTGTTTCTGCGTATCGCCCAGCAGACTTGACAACCTTGAGAGCGGAGTGACGGTGAAGACTGCAGGATAAAGAGGTGACAAAAGAGAAAACTAAGCGTGATAGAAATACTTACTGGGTGTCTTTTACGAGCCATACAGTCGAGAAATGACCCCATCTGCCGATTGCGCGAGATTAGGAAAACTGAAAAGGAGCCAGGGTAAAGAGTACGCACCCAAGCTTCCTGATAACCTTGTATCTATTATTCTTGAAGGTGTCGCTGAGTTTGATAGGTAAATATCCTCCTGCGTTGTAATCTGCTGGGCTCTCCTCATCCTTGCACGAGGGCTCCTCAACGGGAAGTATTTTGGGGCCTGCAGAGGTCTCGACGTAGGAGTATCTGGCTGGAGGCTGCTGTGGAGCCATCGACAGCACAGAGGAGGGGCCGGGAGGAATGAGAGACGGAGGGTAGAGTGAGATGGACGGAGAGGATGTTGAGCGGTGGCGTATTCTCGGAACAGAAGGTCTGTGATTGGCGGCATTTTCCGGACCTGCACCGCCACAGGAGTATCCCTGCGCCAACAAGCTATTGACTCGACATCTGCCGCTTGCAATCATCTTTATTAAATTTTATGGAATGTTCTGGGACGTGCTGGTGCTGCCTGAATGGAGCCAGTAGCTCAGGCTGCACCTGAATACTGTGCTGGTGGCAGCAGAGTGATATTGCTCTTATCTCTACAGTTGATAACTACTCTCAGGGTAGCCCTCGTGTCCGGTTTATCGCAACTTAGCATATGGACGTCATCATCTCAGGTGGCAATCTCTGCCAGCGCTTAGCTGACGTTGTCTACTGTTGCCAAACGCCACTGTGGCGGCGATGCCGACCGTGAAAACGGTTACCCTTGCTCCACCTTTTTCGTTATTGTCAATGCTGGGCTTTAGTAAACTGGGCGTTATCGGTGCCTTGGACGCGATGATGTGTCTGACGAACAAGGCGCGCATCGACGTCGGCTCTCGAAGCCGGCGGTTCGTAGCCACGTGCGTCAGCAGTGCTTCTCTGTTTTAAGTTATTACGATCATCATTATCGTGAGCGGTATTCCTACGATGTCACCGACATCCAAGAGACCGGACATGGCGCCCCAGGAGTTCATTGGCGCGGTCGAGGACCACTGGGACATGTACAGGTGAGTATCTCGTCCGTGTACATTGGCACTAGCTCATCTCGCTCGTAGTGACCGTTCTGAGGACTACACTATCGGCTCTCCAATAGGATTCGGTGCATCTTCGATTGTCTATTCAGCGAAATACAATCCTCAAGGATCCTCGTCTGCAATGCCATGCGCCCTCAAAGTTCTGGATCTTGACTCGCTTCCCCCTCATTCGCTGTCACTGTTGCAGCGCGAGACAACTCTGATGTCCCTGTCCAAGCATCCAAACGTTCTTCGTGTCCGTGGTTCGTGGATGGATGGCCACAAGCTCTTCATTGCGTTACGCCTCATGAATAAAGGTAGTGCCGCCGATGTCATGCACTATGGCTGGCCTGCTGGTTTGGAGGAAGACGTTATCCGTTGCATCCTTCGTCAAGCTCTACTGGGTCTCAAGTGCCGCGTTCACTCTTACTGGTATCGCACAGATCACTTACTCTTCGCCTTAGCTATCTTCACATCAACGGATTCATTCATCGCGACGTCAAGGCAGCAAATCTATTAATCGACGACGATGGAACGGTCCTTTTAGGTGATCTCGGTGTCGCCGCAAACCTCGCTGAGGACACTTCTCCGAGCACTTCGAAATTACAGACCGTGGCCTCGCGCTATGTCGCCTCCCGGCGTCAGAAGAATAGTTCTCATGATAGTCAAGGCAGTGCGGCGTCAGGACACAGTTCCTATGGCTCCACCAGACGTGTCGTACTTGTCGAACCTACCGCAACACACTCAAGACCAAAGATAGGAAAACGGAAGTCTTTCGTTGGTACAGTACGTGCAAGATATCTTTAGCTGTAACTTCGCTTCATGAGCCACTAGCCATGCTGGATGGCGCCCGAGCTGATTCAGGGGAAGAACTACGACTCTTCTGCGGATATATGGAGCTTTGGTATCACCGCCCTCGAACTTACCCAGGGTCGGCCACCCAGGTCCCGGGAGTCCCCTCAAAAAGTATTGTTGAAAACGTGCGTGTGTATCATTCGATTTTTCAGTATCTTTATTTCTATTGGAGCGTAGAATTCAAGAGGCACCCCCAACACTGGATAGGGATGGTGGTACATACAAGTACTCCCGCGCTTTCCAAGAAATGTTGGAAAGCTGTCTCGTCAAAGACCCATCGCAGCGGTGTGTTTGTAGGCTTCAACGGCATTCTTAACTTGCTCATTACTTCCTAGGCCAACTGCGGAACAGCTCCTTCAAACACAGTTCTTCAAAGGAGCAAAGAAGCCGTCCTATCTGATCGCTACTATATTGAGCAAGTTTATCGTTTCTTGATTATTCAATATGCGACTTATAGTTTTCTTCCAGAGAATCTACCGCCTCTGGCCCATCGGCAAGAACGTCGGGTAATCTCAAGCTCCCAAACTCATCGTTCTATTGATTCTTGGGATTTTGCTACTACCATCCACTCTCTTGGAAGCGTTCCGCGTCGTTATCTACCTGATGAGTCAGACGACCAAGGAGACAATGCCGTTTTCGAAATGGAGGATGAAGGGGAACGAGAAAGCGGGAGAAGCAGTAGGAGAAGCAGTCACTCTGGTGCGGACGAACCAGAACGTCCGGCGCTCGTAGAAGACGAACCAGAGCCACCAGAACCCGAAAGCGATTTGGCGCTATCTCCCGCGTCTTCTTCGCATTCCGGATCGGATTTCCAAGGTGCCAGTACCAACACCTCTCCCGAGATCGGGCTTTCTACATCTCCGTTGTTTGTTCATGGGGGCGCGGAACCGAAGACTCGCCAGCCAGTCAAACAGATATCTCCACCTATCTTCACCGCTATCATACCGCCGTCGTCGGTGCCCGTCAAGTCCAAACTGGACATATCTACTTCGCCGCCACAACGCAGACTTTGGAAGAAGATCAAGACAAATATAAGACGATCATCATCACTTATAATGGTGCAAAAGAACCTGAAGGTTTGATGCCTTGCTTGCCATGATTTTGCTTTCATGCACCCATGCTTCTTTTATCAGGAAGACCCTCGCTAGGAATGGCGAACAAAGGACTAGCTTTTACTTATCGTGTATAACATCTATTTAGAGGTCATTCTAATTTAGTCTTTGTTGCATAATTCTTTCGATACCCGTTTGTAGTACCTTATTTAATGCATAACGCAAAGAGACGCTTAGATAGCACCGCATGGCTACTGTAGATATTTAGATAACATACTAATTATGTGTATGGTTCATTCGAACGTCGAGTTCAAAAACTGTAGAAGATCCTTCCTATTAGCTTCCCGTTCGTCGTCCCCCTTCTCTTTTCTGACTTTCAGCTTGATCTGGGAAACAAGGATGAGAACGAACGAACGCTGAGGAAGAATGAAGGAAAAACCTTTTTTCCCGTTAGGACACTTCTCCGTTCCTCCTTGTCTTTGTCCTTCTTTCTATCCTTTTCTTTGCTTTTCCCTTTTTTCCTGTCCTTTTCATAGTCCCTGTCCCTGTGCTTTCGCGAATCCTTATCCTTCCTTCGACGAGGTGACCTAGAGCGCGAACTACGCCTGCGTTTCTTGTGGTCGTCACTCGAGAAGGAAGAGTGTGATTCAGATGAACGACTACGTCGACGATGTTCATGCTCCTATAATGACAAAAGTTTCCACTTTGAAGGTCAACACAATGTTTCTCCAGGTAAACCGATAGGAAAATGACGCACAGCTCGATTAGACGTCCGCTTGACAAGGGTGCATCAGAATCCACACGGAAGAAACGAGCTTGCACATGCTCACAGAAGAGTCTCTATGGTGCTTAGATATATCTTTGGAATGCCGGTCTCGATCTCTCATGTTACGGTCACCTTCGGGAGACTTCGCTCGTACGGCATATCTGCGTTGACTGCCTTCCCCTCGTAGTTGATGTCGAGAGTGCGCCGTGTGTGCCTCGTCATCCGATGTGTAATATCGCCTTTCCTTATCCCTTCCAAGAGACCTGGAGCGGGAGCGTTCTTTGAGCATGTAGGGTTGCCAGGTAGATAACGTCGAGGGTCAGGCGCAAAGGTTCATCAGGTCGGATGTGAGCACTCATCATGCATCTCACATAAAGCATCTCACCATTTCTATGATACTCCTTCGTGCTGTGCTTGTCATGACGGTCTTGACGCATCGTGGTGGTCGTGGCGAAAGACAATGATCGCCGGATGTGGTTGCTCATCATGAGTTTTCATACACCGGTAAACTACCGGTTAATGACCGAACCACCTCTCGCTGGAGGATTTCCATCCAGGTAGATACATATTAGTGATAAATTGATAACATTGAACAATGAAGTTTGAACAATGTTGAATGAACATTCACAAAACGAAATCAGTCCTCAAAGAACGAAAAAATATGACCGACGTAGGGGTCGAACCTACAATCTCCTGATCACAACAGAAGTAGAACCCTGAATCGTAGTCAGACGCGATGCCATTTCGCCAGACGGCCTTGTGTATGTTCTCTGTATCAAGTTGGTGATCCTAAAAGGATGATGCAGTAGGCTCACCTCCCTCACCGGACCTACGTTACGATGTACCAACACAGATTCTTTCCAGTTTCCTATCCCGCTCCCTATGGACTTCATTACATGGATAAATCTCTATATATCTCCATCCAGGGAGTCTTCCATTAGTTGCAATGGCCTGTCATCGAAGACTTCAAAGTTCACCCAGGAACCTGTCAACTTCATCTTCATCTTCATCGACACCACCAGCATTCCCTTGGGAACATACATATGTCCTGGTCGGTGTAACAATACAATTTTGCTATTCAGAAAGTCGTGACGGCGATGAGTGTGTCATTGGTTTCTACAAGTCTAACTGAGCTCAATGCCACTCTGCCATTGGCATTCTGCCCATAGGCCTTCGGCGGGCCCCCATCTTATCCTCTCGACTGGCTGTGATTACGAGGTGTTTATCAACGAGCTAAAATCCAAAAGGCCATTCAGATTGAAATTGGTGAAGCATGGTATGGGACGCACATCATTCAAAATGCTGGTTGATTTGGTCAGAGACGACAGAAAAGCTGTGATCTGAACATCTTCGTACTCCTATTCCAATCCAACTATCAGTGATGTAAAAGCAGAATATAGCAGAATCTCCAACCGTATCAAATTCCTCGCGGAATGCTTTATTCTCTGTTGCAGGAAGCGAGGCTACTAACGCTGAGATGGATCGAAGAATAGCTTGATCCTTAGGCGCTGTACCTGGGTAGGAATGCACTTAATAAGAGAAAGCACCAACGAGCATCACCCTACCCGCTAAAGCTTCTGTAACATAATGAACCAAAATGACGATTCTGTCATGAAGCATTTTGACAGCTGCTCGTTGTGTTTGTAGATGCGATTCCACTGCAAAGGATTTCAATAATGTAGAGCTGACATGGGGAACAAAACGTACAACTCGTGCCACTACCGCCACCGCGTGCAGTCCAGTCGACAGCGATCCGTTCGGCTTCACCTGTTTCTACATTGTACGATGCCTCAACGAAGACTGGACGAGACAAACGATCCCTAATCTCGATCGTTGGCTCATAGGCTTTGAAAGGAAGTGTTTGATTGCCATCGGAGCCTGTGGAAATGTTACTCGAAGACTGAAGGAGCAGGAGGAGAGGCGTCGAGCAGTATCCTGTGAACTATTACCTTGGTAAGATAAGGATAAGCTGAAGGATCAAATTACGTACTTGTGAATGAAGTGCGATGTGACGCGAAGATGGTCCAGGAGCCACTGTGTACCAGCCGATGAATTCCAAGGAGGGAAAGACTTGCTTGTCTATAACACGCCATGTATTTAAGCAACGATGCATGCTGTTAGATGAGGCCCACGTACATTGATCACGCCGCGATACCAAGAAAGAATGATCCACTGTAGTACCATCCTCTTCCACAGCCAATTCAAAGGTATTCACAATCTCCACATCTCTCCCGTTCTGAGTGCCCAGCAGAGCTCCAAGGACTGCAACAAAGTTCGAGGACATTCGCGCAACATCGAGACGAGACATACGACTCACTGAACGGAGTGGAGGTGTTTGTTTGCAGTTTCCGTCGCGTCAAATGTTCAGAAATATTCAGGATCGGTAAGGGATGCCTAACAGACAAGGTTAATGTTGGAAAGCGTAAGCCAAAACCGCATTTACAAAGATATGGATAGACCCGATGTCGTTGTCGATGAGAGTACCACCGAGGTTTCGTCTGTATCCATAGCGCTCATCGTCGGCAATGATAATGTGGGTTGGAGTCTTTGAGACGTAAGAAGCGTACTCCAATGTCTTGGACGTACAAGTATGAAGTATACCAATTACTCAATAAGTAATATGGCCCGCCTAGCTCAATCGGATAGAGCGTCAGACTCTTATGACTTCTAGGCGGATCTGAAGGCTGCGAGTTCGACCCTCGCGGTGGGCTACGGTATTTTTGGGAATTGTGCTCTACTAACGTCGAGCGTAATTCGTCGCCGAATCGTCGGGGGATAAGCTTACGCGCGAAACCTCCAGGGGAGCAACGATACCGTTTTGTACCTACCCTCCCTGACTCGGAGGGGCTTAGTATCGCTACGGTTACTTACTGTTTCTTACTGGTCACACGACCATCCGAACCCAACCACTGTTCAGAGAATTTTAAGACTTAAGTTCAGCTCAGTAGCCGACTTTAAGGCTGCTGCTCTGTGCATAGTGACAGGGCAGCTATTGAAACTCGCAGGGAGTAGGTTCTTGTTTTTTTTACCCACTACGGGCTGGCTTCCTTGCGTACTCTGGCATTTACTGTTCTGAAATATAACGAAGGTTTTCGGTTGAATAGGCTTCCCGACAGCCTGAGATATCTTATCGTTGTTCACTCGGTGATACGTTGCCTTAATGAGCTCCCGTAACATCAAGTGCCTTTCCTGCTGAACATTCAGAACATGTTAGAAGTCGAATTTTGTGTTACGCTCTTCAACTCTATGTAGTCTTTGACTCAGTCGGTTTTCATTGATGCTCTCGGGTCCTAAAATTAGCAGCAACCACTGTTGAATACTACAGAAAGGACTGAGTTATTGTTCTTTAGAGAACTGCGCCAACTGAATCCGTAGTGCGATACAAACAACACAAATAGTACACAAGAAATAAATTAACCATACACCCAATCTACTTGATCATGCCACAACATCAAGTTATACTCCAACCCTGTACGAAGTAACATCAGTATCAGGGATGAACAAATAATAACGCTACGCACCTATGGACGACCTTTTTCTGTGAACACGAAGAAACCTGTTAGACCTAATATGAACGGCAGTGTTTGACACCTACCTGTCCGGAAAACCGAATCACCTCCCGCTTCTCAAGGATATACAGCGTCCTCTCAAGCGCATGGCTAGAGTACCCCTGCTGCGTGACAAACTCTTTGATGAGACTCTGATAACTAGTTCGCCACCCGACAGGTAGACGTCTCCTCAGCTCCTTCTCTATACGCGTCATCTCTTCATTTAGACCTCCTCGGGAAAGGCCATCGGCAGAGCCTGCGGACACAGCATCCATGGTAGAGAACTTGAACAACCGTATAGCCTCTTCTACATGATGGTTTTGCACAACAGGTGTGAGTGTCATCTTCGCCAAGGACTCTGATATACGGATTATGGCTTCCAGTTGACGGACGGTGATAGGTATGGAACTTCGCTCGTCATTATCTTGTTCCACCTGCTGGACCTGTTTCCGTAGACTGACAAAATGACTGCTGAGCATCTCCTGGGCTTCCGGAGATAGTCTGGGAGCACATTTCCTGCAAAGATTTCAATGATAACACAGATGCGCAGACAAGATATCTCACTGTTTGCAATAGGCAATATAGCGCTTCATTTTGTCCAAAGGTAATTCTCCTTCACCATTCTCGTCTGTGAGATTATTAGGTCTGTTCATGTGAACATTCAGGACGTGTTTCGCGATAGTCTGCAGAACATATATGAGAATTATAAGGATTGCCCCAATATTGGAGCTGACCTTATCTCTGGTCTCGTCATGTTCATCTTTCACAATGAAGATCATATCGAATCGAGAAAGGATAGTAGTTTGGAAATCAATGTTCTTCAGAGAAATATTTCAGCTCCACCTCATGTCCAAGGAAGAAAAGAACGCACCTCGCCCGGACTGCGTCCTTCGTCGTAACGACCAAAGACCGGATTAGCTGCCGCAAGGACACTGGTACGTGTGTTCAGCACCGTGGTGATTCCAGCCTTGGCAATGGATATAGTTTGTTGTTCCATGGCTTCGTGGATTGCAACGCGATCCTCATCCCGCATCTTGTCAAACTCGTCTATACACACGACTCCTGTGTCTGCAAGGACCATAGCACCTCCTTCGAGATAAAATTCTCTCTATACCGTCGTTACTTTGTCAGCCAAACTTGGGATGCCAAGTAGGTACGCACCGAAACTGTATCTCTTTGAACTGAAGCTGTCAGACCAGCAGCACTAGAACCTTTTCCAGATGTGTATACAGCGATGGGTGCCACCTTTTCCACAAACTTGAGCAGTTGACTCTTTGCGGTACCAGGGTCGCCAAGAAGCAACACATTTATGTCGCCACGAAGCCGCATACCGTCTGGTAGAACTTTCTTTGACCCTCCGAATAAGAGGCAGGTGATGGCTTTTTTTATGTCTGCCATGGGATTAGTATATGTGAGCGTTCAAGACTAAAGGTTGCAACATACCAACACTCCCGTAGATACTGGGCCCAACACTCTTAGCAAATCGTTCGTAGAAACCTTCACTCCGCGCCATTTCATTAAACTCCTCTTCCTCCTCTGGGGAGAACTGAACACCAAACGGGTTGGAACCGCCTGAACCAGCGGCAGAAGGAGAAGACATTTCGAGGTGGACAACACGGAGGTATGGCTTTCGAGTAGCCGCAGCACCAGCAGATTTCTAGCATGACGTTAGAAGTTATGCATATTCAAGAGATCAAGGACCTACATCCCGCGCAGCTTGGAAGGTCGAGTATATGCCGGTAACAATAACTCTCGAGCCCGGCACAACTTGCCCCGTCAGGTATCTGTCTGCTGAGAGGAGCATGTGTTTCGGCAGGTCACCAACGGGCACCATGTCCGGAGCCTCTTGAAGTTTCAGTGTCTGCTGGTCAGCAAAGGTGGACTTTGAGTGGATGATGAGATAGGGATCCAATGGGCAGTCTTTCTTCTGCCCGTCGAGTGGAGGCTCTTCGCACCGCCGAGGCAATCCAGATCCAGTTCCATACCCAAGGCCTCCAATTCCACCGGGTGGGTAAATAGTCTTGACAGAACGACATGCGCGACACTGGATGTGTAGCTTCGTCGCCCTGGATGAAAGGACAGAAGCTGAAATGACTATTCCTGGGACCCTTACAAGCTTGTTGATGGTGTTAGCGGTGAGATCACGGAATTGGAGGAGGTTGAGGCCAGAGCGGAGAGTAATCTGGACTTTGTCGATAGACTCGGCGACTGCATTGATTGCTTCATCAGTGCCGGCGAGAGGGTAGAGGATGGTTTTGGCGGCACGAGTCGCAGCATTTTCAAACTATACGGGCTGAGCGTACATCGAAAGCAGAAAGGTATCACGTACGAGTGGCAGGACATCTGCCGGTCTATCCTGAATTGCATGTGCCAGCTCGTCGTTGTAGAGACTGACGTGCCTAAGATCAACTTCCAGAACGTTCTGCTTCAAAAGCAGATTCCCACGAAGCATGTCCCTTTACTAGCGTGAATCTCCAAAGACTTTGAATAACAGCAGCTGATTGGCGCACCTGTAGATGAATTCTCCTCCGACGCGATATTGCAGCAAAAAGTCCAGCAGTAGTTTCTCCGTATCAGAAGCCGACTCTGGCGCAGTCGGTGGTGGCGGATCATGGACAGAGACGTTGTAGACATTGTTCGCGTCAAAGCCAGACATGATGGAGGTGAGTGACCAAACAAGAGATAAAAACGAGTGGGCTCAGTGACAATAACGAGCTTTAGGGCAGGTCATTTCGCGTGATGCTTATGTCAGCAGTAAGCCGTTTTTCACACCGTCATCGCATTTTGCCCTCGAACCCTGCTTCGATGTCTTGACCCCTTAAGGCCTTAGCGTCTGCAATTCAGCATCCCTAATTGTGTGGTACTAAATCAAATCCAAATGTTTAGCCTTGGGTCCCAGATTTCATGATTTCATCTCGGACCTGGCATGTCCGATTCACGACAGTGGACACAGTGCAAATGTTCCATTACTACGCGCTTTCCTTTCCACTTTGATGTGTACGACGAGGAAGGTACCCTTCTTGTGTCATTGCCGACATTGCTCCCTTCGTGGTCTATCTGCCGCCCATATCTCCCTGCGCAACGATCGCCACCACTATCGTTGTTCTGCCTGTTAAGGGCCCGAGTTCGCTCTTTCGAACAATTAAACCAACTCCTGGCAGTAAATATGACTGCATACTCTTGTGTTGGTATGTCCTGTCACAGCCTCTAGAGAGCACTGTCCGTGGATACCTTGTCACTATCTTCATTGCTTTCAGCATCCTATTCACGCCCTCCAAATATTATCTTTTCATTGTTTTCTCACAACCGAAAATTCCAGGCTTAAGTACGAGGCCAAGCCGTCCGACAACGTTTTTCTCAAAATTGTGTCGACGCTCAACGTAACGTTCCCCTCCCCTTCTGTCGAATGCATACTTCCGGATATGGTCCAGGTTACACTCAGGAAGAGCTTGTCACTGGACTCTCGGTGCCCTGTGTGCGACTCCGTCCATTCCTGCCAAGTCTGCTCTCCTTGTAAGGATCGTCATGCCAAGAAGTCTATGGAAAGACGAAAGACGGTAAGCACATCTGAAAGAATTTTTATATCTTCCTACTGATGGATGCCCTAGAAATGGACACAGAAAATGACCTAACTTGACAACGTCTCTGATCTAATATCTTGGAAACCTCTTCCGCGGGCTGCACAAAACTCATATTGGATTCATTCCCCTTCCGGCTAGCGCGAAAAAGATCTATGTCCCAAGTTCTGGGACCCAGGTATTTCGTGGCTATTCAATTTACAATCATCCATGAATATGGCTAGTGCACTGTCCGGGGTAACAGTGAAGATCTACGTTAATGATATATGTACAATTTCGGATGGGCCTATGAGACACGGAATCTCGCGAACAGTCCTTTTCACACTGATCGGGGCTGTCGCCATTGGCCAAGGAAGTGTGGGCATGCTTAAATGGGGCCGTTGCAACAACTTCGGACTTCACTTTTGAAATTCGACGGCTTGATCGTTATAGGTAATTAGCGCTGGTGCATCAGCATTGACACGGTCTCCCGCGTCCCATATTCGTCGAGGTAAGCTCGGAAGCATTATGAATATATTTGATACTACCATATCATTTTCACAGCCCGCCTAGCTCAATCGGATAGAGCGTCAGACTTTTACGGCG